TGTGAGCATATTACACTGATCCTGGTCCAACCACACTGGAAACCAATTAGTTTCTGAGCCTAATTCAAAGTGCTGGTTTGACCTATAAAGACTTAACAGCTCAGGATCACAATACCTTGAGTATTGCCCCAGGCCAGATATCATCCTCTAAGACACTTCTTCATGTGCCTCCTCCATGTGTGGAAGGTGACAAAACAAGATCGGGACTTTTCTACAGTGGCTCCATTTGTGGAAAGCTCTCCACAGAGAAGAGAGGTTTGGCTGGCACCTTCATTATGCGCCTTTATGTCCTGAGCGAAAACATTCTTCTTCAGCCAGGACTTTGGCTGAATAAAGGACAGTATAACAAATAATAAATGAAATATGCAAATGTTTGTAGTAATAAAAAACACATCTTTGTGGGGAGAAACTCTCCTGCATAAAACTGCTGCATTAAAAATAAAAATAAAATTTGCTATTGCATGTACAGAAAGTGGGGAAGGAGAAGGAAGCAGCCTTTTATGCGAGTGATTCCAAATCCTTGCATGACTTGCAGGCAACACAAACATTTTTTTGAAAAGTTGACTGCCCTTTCGGGCAAATCTGGTACATCACAAAACATGTATTTCACAAATTGGTTTTCTAAAATGGTGTGTTTCCAGGCTCAGAGCAGCACACAATGTGAAAATTCATGAAGGAGTTCCTGACCAGAGATCAAAATAAAACCAGGTAAAGGAATCAAAAAATATTTATTGTGCACACAGAGGATTTATTATCCTCTTCTCACAGGATTTTTTCCCCATGAACAAAAATATAGCTGGGACTGACCGCTGAGACCTCTAACACCAGTCCTGAAAGACCTACATTGACTCCCACAATTCCAAGTGTTAGTGCTGACCTTTAAAGCCCTAAATGGCCTCAGCCCAGTATACCTGAAGGAGCGTCTCCACCCCATCGGTCCTTCTCCAAGGCCTTCTGGTGGTTCCCTCACTGCAAAAAGTGAGGATACAGGGAACCCTGGAGTGGCGCCCGTCCTATGGAACATCCTCCCTTCAGATGTCAAGGAAATAATAAATTGATGTTTATTGTGTTTTTAATATTCTGTTGGAAGCCGCCAGAGTGGCTTGGGAGGCCCAGCCAGATGAGTGGGGTATAAGTAATAAATTATTATTTTTTATTTTCACTGCTACTACTACTACTACTATAGGATTCTGTGGCAGTAACCAATCAGCTTCTAACATGTTAAGGCATGAGAAATAGTATTTTCTTGTTACTCACTTTTGCCTATACATTCCATCTATCTGTACGTAACTGTATCTACAAAAGCCTACAAGCTGTATATGTTTATTGTTTGGACCATTATGGTCATATGACATATATACATAAATATGGCATTAAAATACAGTATCAGTCTATATTACACACACACACAAATAAGTTTTTAGATGTCATTCCCAATTAAATCTTTACAGTCCACCATGTTCTCCTCAATGAACATTCTCAATTTTGGGGCAGCAGCTTTGTCACAGATTTCTCAAACGAGACAACAAATATGTGACTTTCAGTTGATCATCTGCATCAGGTATCTTACATAACAAATCAAGGATAAACTTGGTTCAGAATAGAGAGAGCATGTTGGTAGAGGTCTACTGCTTAGTTACGGCATACACAAAGATGCTGTTTTGCAATAATTTATTATAGCGTCCCTCTAAATATTCTGAGCTCATAGTCTGAAGATGAAAGTCAGAAATGCTTACCGAAAAGAACAGATTGGTAAATCATATGAGAAAATTCTCAAGTTCATGTCTTATTTTAATTAAATACCAATGTGGGGCAGTGTTCAAAATTAGCCAGGCGCCAGACAGTTTGCAGCAACTTATCACTAGACAGATGGATATACATACTCCCAAAACTGTTTTACTGAGCCTGAACCTTTGCGACAGTAAAGTATTTGGTCCTTATACTGCTTCCTTGCTGTACTGGAAAAGCCCTCGTGCATGGATGAAGGTGAAGAATTGCACATCGTCAAAGAGTGAGCTACTAACTCCCTACTAGGAAACACTGGTCTGCGAGCGCTCCAATTGGAGAACAGCTTTTACCACTGTAACGGAAGCTCTTTCCACACATCAGCTTTCATAGGGTTAGTCTCCTGAATGAGTTATCCGGTGTCGAGAAAGGTGATTACTGCGGAGGTAGCTCTTTCCCGCACTGCAAACTTTATATTTTTGTCCCTGGTGAATTCTCCTATGTGCATGAAGGGTGCTAGAGTCACTGAAGCTTTTTCTACATTCCAAGCATTTATACGGTTTGCCCCCTGTATGAGTTCTTTGATGCAAAGTAAGGAGGCTACCGAACCAAACCTCTTTCCACACTCCAGGCGTTCATGCGGTTTGTTCCCTGTACGAGGTGTCTGATGTCATTTAAGGTGAGAATTGCACTTGAAGCTTTCACCAGACTCAATGCACTTATATGGCTTCTCCCCTGTGTGAATTCTATGGTGCATGTTAAGGGACCTGCTGTGACTGAAGCTCTTTCCACACTCCATGCATTATAAAAGTTTCTCCCCTGTGAGTTCTTTGATGTTTAGTAAAGGTACTATAGTCACTGAAGCTCTTTCCACACTCCATGCATTTATAAGGTTTTTCACCTGTATGAAGTCGTCGATGCACATTAAGGGAGGCACTCTGATTGAAGCTCTTTCCACACTCCATGCATGTATATGGTTTTTCCCCTGTGTGAGTTCTTTGATGTTTAGTAAGGGTACTACTGTCAAAGAAACTCTTTCCACATTCCCAGCATTTATAAGGTTTCTCCCCTGTATGAGTTCTTTGATGTACATTAAGGTAGCCACTGTTTCTGAAGCTCTTTCCACACTCCATGCATTCATAAGGTTTATCCCCTGTATGAGTTATCTGATGCACATTAAGGTGGCCACTGTTTCTGAAGCTCTTTCCACACTCCATGCATTCATAAGGTTTCTCCCCTGTATGAGTTATTGGATGCACATTAAGGGAGGAACTCCGACTGAAGCTCTTTCCACACTCCATGCATTTATATGGTGTTTCCCCTGTGTGAGTTCTTTGATGTTTAGTAAGGGTACTACTGTCTGAACTCTTTCCACATTCCCAGCATTTATAAGGTTTCTCCACTGTATGAGTTCTTTGATGCACATTAAGGTGGCCACTGTTTCTGAAGCTCTTTCCACACTCCATGCATTCATAAGGTTTCTCCCCTGTATGAGTTATTTGATGTCTAATAAGGATGCTTCTGGTACTGAAGCTCTTTCCACACTCCATGCATTCATATGGATTTTTATGGTTTTCCTGTGTGTGAATTATATGATGCATTTTAACAGACTTGCTGCAACTGAAGCTCTTTCCACACTCCATGCATTTATAAGGCTTCTCCCCTGTATGAGTTCTTTGATGCTCATTAAGGGAGGAACTCCGACTGAAAGTCTTTCCACACTCCATGCATTTATAAGGTTTCTCCCCTGTATGAGTTCTTTGATGCACATTAAGGTAGTAACTCCGACTGAAAGTCTTTCCACACTCCATGCATTCATAAGGTTTCTCCCCTGTATGAGTTATTTGATGCTCATTAAGGGAGGAACTCCGACTGAAAGTCTTTCCACACTCCATGCATTCATAAGGTTTCTCCCCTGTATGAGTTATTTGATGCTCATTAAGGGAGGAACTCCGACTGAAAGTCTTTCCACACTCCATGCATTCATAAGGTTTCTCCCCTGTATGAGTTATTTGATGCTCATTAAGGGAACTCCGACTGAAAGTCTTTCCACACTCCAGCATTTATAAGGCTTCTCCCCTGTATGAGTTATTTGATGCTCATTAAGGTGGCTACTGTTTCTGAAGCTCTTTCCACACTCCATGCATTTATAAGGTTTTTCACCTGAGTGTACGCTTTGATGTATAGCAAGGGCTGCGCGACTACAGAATCTCTTTCCGCACACAGTACATTCATGTTTTTTCTCCACCCTGTTAAGTTGATTTTCATCTTCTTGGGAAACACTGTGTTCATCCCTTGGCTTCACTGTTTCTCTCCCCTCTCGTTTGTTGGCTCCATCTTGAACCCCCAACTTCCTTTCGTTCTCTTGCGCCTCACCTCTTTCTGGCCAGACTTCTGATGGCTCCTCCTCATCCAGGACCCCCCAAACATCTCCTGATGGAATAAAAATTTTAAAATAAAGGTTGATACAGCTGTTTCCTTATCAAAACTCAAGGCCTGGCACTATGTTAAAGGCGTTTTACATGAAAACAAATGATGTGATACCTGGTTTTAATAAAATATCACCATTTAATGAAGGGTTATTTGTATCAGAAAAGTTCTGGTGAGCAGTCCCTAAGATTAACTAAGCCATAAATAACATAATTTAAACCAGCAGGCAATAACATCAACAGAGCCTGCCTCCCTATGGGCCTGTGTGAGGCGGTTGCCTCAGGTGTCGCCCCCAAAGGGGCGTCAGTGCTCAGCTTTGCTGCTAGTCTCCCCGGCCTCCAGGGGCGAAGTGGAATGGGCAGCAAAGCTCTGTGAGTCCTCTCCCCTCCAGCCAAGTCCTGAAAAGGATCCCCCCAACAAGGGCATGCCCACAAGAGGGCAGACATTCCACCATTCAGCTTTGTCAGGATCTGAAAAGGCTCTTTGCCAGTGAATGGGGGGAGGCGTCTGCACCCCTTGGAGGTCTCGTGGGGTGAGGAGGGACCACCACACCCAACTTGCAGGGGTACGCTCCTTATGGATTTTGAGCCCCCATTGTGGGGGCAGAAGTGAGGCCGCCCCTGAGCATTGATAATACAGCACTGCAACTCAGAGAATCTTGAAAAGTCTAGATCTGCAGAGCTTGTTGAAAAACCAAAATGAATAATAACAATAGTAGCATTTATTTTATTTATATCCCAACCGTCTGGCTGGGTTTCCCAAGCCTCTCTGGGTGGCTTGCAGCATATATAAAAATGCAATCAAACCTCAAATATTAAGAAACAGAATATTCTATATATGCAACAAACAAACCAATACATCAATAGAAACCAATAACAATAACAAGATACTCAAGTATTCTACAAATTAGGGTCCCCCACATAGAATATTTTTAGTATGCTTTTTCTACCATTCTCCACGCTAGATTGCCACAATGCATTATACTTCAGGCTGCTTTAGAAGACCGTTCAGAAACTACAGAGTGCTGACCGGTGCAAGAGGCTCTGAGCATATCTGGGTTCCTGTCTTCAAGTCAAGGTGCTGATTTTGACTTATGTAGCTCAATGGCTGCTTCTCATGAATCCACCTAGAGCCTGCACTCATCGTCTGAGGTCCTTCTCACAGTGCCCTCTCCAGCTGAGGGGCAAAGAGAGGCAATACGGAATGCGTCTTTCAGTGCTGGCTCCCCACCTAAAGAATGCTCTCCCCCAGGGAGGCAACCCAGAAGCCATCACTGGCTAATTGTAGCAGAGAAGCAAGAATGTTTACTCTCAGCCAGGCTTCTGGCTTTTAACTTGGGAGAAAAACAAACACGGTGACCTCCTTTAGCGGAGCTGAAGGGAGGCACTCCGAGGAACCCATACCTATTATAACTATTAACGAAGGCGAAAAGGATCCTTACCCTGAGAGGCCACCATCTCATGAACCTCCACCATGACGTCCTTGTACAGAGCTCTCCGTAGGGCCCAGTTGTCGTCAGCGAAATGCAAGGACACCTGTCAAAGCTCACTGATCCCTGGAAGGACAGAACAATTCCCTTCCTTATAGACACTCCAAGGCAAGGTGTGGAAACCATCTCCCCTCAGCTCCCCCTCCGATGATAGATGGGGCAACTGGAGATTTTACCTTCAGTGTTTATTTGTTTTTTTAATAAGATGTGAAAATCTGGATAACTAAATTTAAGACTGGGGGAAATGAGTGTTTTGTCCCACCCCATACTCCCTCCTTCCTCAAGTGTGTAAAGACCATACATGCTGCCCAAGAGGCAAAATGGGAAGTGGAGAGAGATAATTTTTTTCAATGATGGCTTTATGCATACTGGTTTCTAAATTGGTTTGTGGGTTTTAGTTGTGTTCTAGCTCCCATTGGATCACTGTGCCACTTGAGAGACCTTTTGGATCAGGTGTTTAGAAATCTTGAACATAAGATAAAATTACTACAGCTGCAGATGGCCAGTTATATCCCCAGGGGCCCACCTTTTTTAATGATATATGTTTAGTACATACATTTTGCAGAGGAAAAGTTTTTTCTCATGGTTTAATTTGCAGTGGACCTATGGCCTTCGATACAATAAAATGCTAAAGAGTCTTAACTGAGGAGGATCCTCTCCTGCCATAGAGTCTGCAGCTCCTTCTGCACTCTATGGGGCGCTACCTTTGAAGGTGACCCGGAAACTAGATCAAATCCAGAATGCAGCAGCTAGACTCGTAACTGGGAGCAGCAGCCAACTAAGACCTGAAAGACCTACATTAGCTCCCAGTATGTTTCCGAGCAAAATTCAAAGTGTTGGTGCTGACCTTTAAAGCCCCAAATGGCCTCAGCCCAGTATACCTGAAGGAGCATCTCCACCCCATGCTCAGTCCTGACACTGAGGCCCAGCTCCAAGGGCCTTCTGGCGGTTCCCTCCCTGCGAGAAGTGAGGTTACAGGGAACCAGGCAGAGGGCCTTCTGGTAGTGCCCCCCCCTGGAAAGCCCTCCCATCAGATGTCAAGGAAATAAACAACTATCTGACTTTAAGAAGACATCTGAGGGCAGCCCCGTTCAGGAAAGCTTTTAATGTTTGATCTTTTATAGTGCTTTTAATTTTCTGTTGGGAGCTGCCCAGAGTGGCTGGGGAAACCCAGCTAAATGGGCGGGGTATGAAGGAATAAAATAATAATATTCCTCCTGCTCCTCCCTGGCTGGCAGGAGACTCTCCTGACTCCCTGTTTACTCCCTGCCATTCCTCCCCATTCCCTGCCCTGCGGCCTTTGCTGGGCGCTCCTTCTGCTTTCTCTGGACAGAGGAGCGGGAGAAAAGGCCGCAGGATGAGGCCAGAGGCCGGTCAAGGCCAGCGAGCAGCGTCGCTTCGGCCTCCCGCTTCCCCTCCCAGGAGAAGACGACCTTTCCCCGTCGCCCCTTAGTTCCCCCCAGGAGGGACGCGGCTCCCTCCCTCTCGCCCCCCAATTCCGCCCCTGGGTCGGCCGACTCCCCCCAGTTACCCGCCTCCAGGAAGGACAGCATCAACCCGGGGAAGCGGAACAGGAAGCGGAAGCGCCTCCTCTCTCGCCAGTCTTCTCTTCCGCTCTAGGAATAGAAGCTCTATCGCCGCAGTTAACCCTTGCGAGCCGCGGGGTAGGAGCCTCTTGGCTGCTCCGGGCAGAGAGGGAGGAGGAGCGCCCGGCTGGTCTCCGGCTCTGAAGCAGGAGGGGAAACCCGGCTGCAGGATCAGGCCAGCGGCGCCCCCAGGACAGAATCCCTCCTCCGCAGGTGCTCCAAGCAAGATCCGAGCTCAAGAGCAGCTTTATCCTCACCTTTAGTATTCTACTTATTTATATCCCGCCTTTTTCCCAGACCAAGAGCCAAGGCGGCTTACAAAGGGGTTGCCATGGTTATAAATTCAAAAAGGCAGGCGGCATTAAGAGGCAAGGAATTGCAATTGTTTCAAAGATCCTGGTTGAAATCAGAATTAGGAAAAAAATTAAAGATGCACATATTTTGTGAAATCAGCTGAGAAGAGAGGTCCAGAGGCTGTAAAAAGATGAGTGCTTTAAATATTTTCAAATGACAGAATACCTGACAGAATCTTGAGTTTGGATTGGCTATTTTGGATCCAACTGAGTCCTTTCCAAGTGTGCCTCTAAAATGGTGCATGCACACAGGGAAACAAACCTCCACGAGGGACCTTGGTTTCCCGGCTTAGAATAGCACACACGATGTGGAAATTCATGAAGGAGGTCCTGACCGGAGATCAAAATAAAACTAGGTAACGGAATACCAAAATATAGTTGGGACTGGCCACTGAGACCACATAACACCTGTCCTGAAAGACGTACATTGGCTCCCACTATGTTTCCAAGCACAATTCCAAGTGTTGGTGCTGACCTTTAAAGCCCAAATTGGCCTCAGCCCAGTATACCTGAAGGAGCGTCTCCACCCCCATCGTTCAGCCTGGACACTGAGGTCCAGCTCCGAGGGCCTCCTGCCGGTTCCCTCACTGCAAAAAGAGGATACAGGGAACCAGGCAGAGGGCCTTCTTGGTAGTAGCACCCGCCCTGTGGAACGGCCTCCCATAAGATGTCAAGGAAATAAACAACTATCTGAATTTTAGAAGACAGCTGAAGGAGCCAAGTTTAAGGAAGTTTTTAACGTTTGATGTTTTATCGGCTTTTAATATTCTGTTGGGAGCCACCCAGAGTGGCTGGGGAGGCCCAGCCAGATGGGCGGTGTATAAATTATTATTATTATTATTGCTACACAAATGTCATAGCTCCTCTGGTGTTTGGGGGTATACAGCCAAATGCAGCATTTTGCGGCAGTAAACAATCAGCTTCTAACATGTTAAGGCATGAGAAATACTATTTTGTTGTTACTGACTTTTGCCTATACACTGCATCTATCTGAACGTAACTGTATCTGCAAAAGCCTACAAGCTGTACATGTTTATTGTTGACTGAAGCATTATGGTCATATGCAAGATATACATAAATACAGTGGTACCTCGGGTTACAGACGCTTCAGGTTACAGACTCCGCTAACCCAGAAATAGTACCTCGGGTTAAGAACTTTGCTTCAGGATGAGAACAGAAATTGTGGCGCGGCAGCAGCGGGAGGCCCCATTCGCTAAAGTGGTGCTTCAGGTTAAGAACAGTTTCAGATTAAGAACAGACCCCAAGAGCGAATTAAGTTTTTAACCCGAGGTACCACTGTACAGCTTTAAAATAGTATCAGCCTATATTACACACACACACGCACACATACAAATAAGTTTTTAGATTTCATTCCCAATTAAATATTTACAGTCCACCATGTTTTCCTCAATGAACTTTCTCAGTCTGGGGCAGCAACTGCAGATCTCACAACTTTGTCACAGATTTCTCA